GTCCACAATCAATCAAGCAGCTCGAAGAACTGCTCAAAAACCTGTATAACTTTAATTATCAATAAAATGCTGATGCCACCTATGACCTACCAACTTCCGAAGAAAGAACAACAAAAGAATTTGAGAATGATAATTTAATTAAAGCATCTGAAACAGGTTGAAGAATATAACCTGAAGAAGGTGATGGTTACGGCAAAAAGAAAGGACAGAATAAGCTGAGAAATGCAATACTCCTTCGGAAGGGCATGACCAGATACAAGCACAGATTGGAATCTGCAGGATTACAAGATTACATACATCATGCAACAGATTGGATAAACAAGGCTACTTGGATCAAACAATCAATCTCACAAGATAAGCCCTCATAAATAGCTCAGAATATCCATGTGACTTGATGAAATGCTCCAAGGTCTCACTTCGATCCATATCAGGATTGTTCTCGTGCTCCTCGAGGTACCTAGTACAACAAGAGTTTTGTATATCGATTTCTCAAATATATTCAAGAACATCTAACACAGAAACTTGAAAACATTAAAACCCTACGGTGAAGATACAACGATAAGCAATCATACATCTTAGATACTTTAGGGCTTAGCTTTATCATCCTTCACGAGGTTAAAGAAACACCAAATCCTCGTCTTCATAATATAAGGGAACCTATGTTGGTCTAGAAAAATTGAAGTACCCCAGAAAACCTTTCCCAGAACAGATAAGGGTTGAGCGAGTAAGACGTGCGAATTTTGATAGATTGCAGAGCATGTAAATGGGAACTAGAAAAATTCCGAACCGAACAGAATTTGGGGATGTACCATGATCATCCTTCATGGGTTTGAAGGACCTCCCTCCATAAGAACCGTCCTTCCAACCGACACCGACGACGACGACGACGACGATGACGATGATCGCGCGAAGGAAGGGGCATTAACATCATCATCCTTCAACGTTGATGATGACGATGGCGGCGATGGTGCAACGTCGAATCGAATGCCCTTCTATCATAGATCAGGGAACCCGTGCAACGACGACGTCGGATCCGTGAAGGGTAAAAGATGGCGATCGTTCTCGGCGTCGAGACAGATGCAAGCAAATCTCGCGCGAGTAGGATATGAAATGGAGCCATCAGGCACAGCTCCCACCTCTACCGGTGTTTTTGGCTAATGCATGGGTTAACAACAAATGACGGGCCGGTCGTTCTACAACCTAACATTTAACTCGGGCCGGAAGTTAGACTACGGCCCATGGTTAGATGACGCTTCCACAGTGGACGCATTATTGGCATACGCGGCGGTCGTGAGATGAATAATTGGGCCACGGAACGATCCAGCGACTACCACTCTGTGAGTGAAAATGATGGAATGGGGCGGAGACTGCAGTAAGTCAATTGGAAGTCGTGGTGCAACGTGGAACGCCGATTCATCCTCGATTTAGACGCACACGGCCAAGAAAGAACAAGGAACTGTGATGAGATGATGACTCACATGAGAACGTCGCCCTTAAACTTGACGATCTCACGAATCATTCGCCAGAAGGAGGGATTGAACGCGTTGGTCTTCTGCGCAAACAAGCTGGAGAGACCATTGCGGCTTCCCCATTCGCAGCCTTTGCCTTCGTCCAGGCTCACGGAGAACGACATGTCGGATATCTCCATGTCGACGCCCAGAGTCTCGAAGAACTCCACCATGTTCGGGTAAGTTACCTGCACGAATGGTTTCAAATCATACATGGTAGCATCATGGTAAATAACGTGTTTGGGAACAATTTGGCCATATTTGACGTCGATTATGATAGAAGAGGTGACACCATTAATTTCTTTCTAACTGTGTGTGATAGATGAGTCGACACCACACAGACTTCCTGCCTTCAATAGCAGCGGTGGCCGTGACTCGACACCAAATGTAGGGGGAAATCAAATGGTAACTTTTTTATTGATTGGTAACTTTCTTCATCTTACTCGTGTCCATTGGCTGCTAATCAAAAGGATACTTACATTTTAGTCACGATATGGTAGCGATCAGCTTATTATATTTTATAATTTTATTTAATTGAATAAAATATATTATTATTTTAATTAAATTCTGATTAAGATTATCAATCAATAAAGAAAATTTTAATTATGATAGAATCTTAATAGGACTCTCCTAATTACTTATTTTAAATTATTTACTCTTATTTATAAATAGATAGATAATCTTAGTGACAATATATAAAAATTATAAATCTATTCTCATATCCTTTTAGTTCCTATTTCATTATCCTCAGATCATTTTTTATATATTTACATATCAAAAATATTTTGAACGATATTAAGAGATATACATATTAAATTAAATTTATTATTATTTGATTTTAGATTTTAACATTTAAATTTTTTCGTGAAGAGTTCACGCAACCCTGTGTCACTTATTTCTGAATTGATCCTATTCAAAAGCTAACCTCGTCTCATCAGTAACGAGACTCTCTAGAATATCCCTTTTTTTTTGGCGGACGTAAACGAGGTTGTTTCCCTTGTTTTCATCAATATGTCTTTTAGTTCTCATTTTGATCCCAAAAATAGAAAAAACCTCACAGAATCTCTGGAAACAAGTCCCAGATATTCATAAAGAATTACCCATTCAAATTCAAGATTAGGTGGAAAGGAGGATAATTCAAGCTAGATTTGAGGATGAGAGTTAGGATCATATGAGAACACGGCAAAACCAGGTATATGGTCCTCCGTTTGCAAGAAAGAGCTTGCAAGGACCATGCAATGATCGTTCACGGTGTCATCAAATCAACACGACTCTATTTATTTTTATTTTAGTTGTCTGCAGCGGCCAAAACTACTGCTTCAATCTTTTATCTTTTCGATTCCACAACGTACGTACGATACTTGACAGAACTTTCACGGGTATGAAGCACTGTGCTCGGAGCAAACAAGAACACGGAAAGAAGACCACCGGGGAGTAGATTTTGAAGCACTAACCCGGTTGAAGACCATGAAACCAAGATCGAGATCGACGCCATCGAATGTGACGGTCTTGGCGTGCCCGCCCAAGTAGTCTTCTTTCTCGTAGAGTACCACGTCGACGCCGGCCTTGGCAAGCGTGTAGGCCGACGCCAACCCGCTGATGCCCGCACCGATCACCGCCACGCGCATTGATGCCGGAAGAGCGGCGACGAGGTCTTTGGGAGATCCCCTCGGTGAGGTATGCAGTCGGACGCCTCACTGGTCTCTCGCGCACCAGTGGAACATTGGGAACCCAGAGGGACGGATTGGCCTCCCATTTTGAAGGATAAGGCGTGCAGCAAATAGGAGCGGCGTGTTTCATTCGTTGACCGCTTGTTGGCCAATTAAAAACCATGCGTATGTGAACAAATAGTGATAGGATAAATAAAAGAAGAAATTTTGTACATGAACAAATAGTCATAACACAGAATTAAATAAAAATTATAATTAAATAAGATATTAAGATTTATGTGAAAAATCCCTAGAAGGATAAAAATTACGGAATAAACTAGAGATAATCAAATAATGAATATATAAATCTGAGAGTTACTTTACACAATATCCAAATTCTCCCTAAGTAATCACAGTAAGAATCTACTATAGATCTGATCTAACCTTAGATGAGAATTCTGTCTGGATGATTGAGAACAGTTTCTCTACGTTATCCTTATCGTCTTCACTTTTTCTCTTATTTTTCTGTCATTTTTTTCTTTTTTTTGAATCAAGTTGCTATTGCAATTTTCTATCTCATTGCTACAATTTTTTCTCTCCCTATTTCCGTAGCCACCACATCCCCCTTATTAGATCTAGGGTTAGATTAAAGGGAAGATGAGCTATGGGCTATTAAAGCCCACTATAGGCTGAACTTGTGGGCTGTCAGCTCAACAACTTCCCCCTTCAGCCCATAAGGGAGGCTGTCTCATGACTCCTCAATGTGAAACCATGCCAACCAGCTGACAATATATCTCTTGCCTTTCTTTTGGTAATATCTTTGTCAATATGTTTGTTCCGTTGTCATTTATGTGAATTTTTTGAAGCTGCAATTACTTCTCTTCAAGTATATTTCGTATATAGTGGCATCTAACATCTATATGTCTTGACTTGGAATGAAAAGTTGGGTTCTCACATAAATGGATGGCACTATAGCTATCACAATTCACCACATAGTTTTTTTTTTTAGCCCAAATTCTTATAAGAATTTTTTCATCCATAACATTTCTTTACAAACCTTTGTAGGAGCAATATATTCTGCCTTTATGGAAGAGAGAGCAATACACTGGGATATTGGATTGGCCGCGAGGTGTGGCTTGAGCATTGGATTAGCCGAGATGCGACTCAGACATTGGATTGGCTGCAAGACATAGCTCGAGCATTCAATTGGCTGAGATGTGACTCGAACATTGGACTAGCTGCGAGGCGTAGCTCAGACATTGGATTGGACGAGACGTGACTCGGGCACTATTTGGCCGAGGTGCACAACTAGGACACTATTTGGGTGAGGTGCACAACTCGGGCACTGTTTGACCAAGGTGCATAAATCAGACACAGTTTGGTCGAGGTGCACAACTTGAACATTGTTTGGCTGAGGTGCACAACTCGAGCATTATTTAGTCGATGTGCATGACTCGGGTACTGTTTGGCCAAAGTGCATGACTCGAACACTATTTGGTTGAGGTGCACAACTCAGACATTGTTTGACCGAGGTGCATAACTAGGGCATTGTTTGGTCGAGGTGCATGACTTGTGCACTGTTTGGTCGAGATGCATGACTTGGACACTGTTTGGCCAAGGTGCATGACTCAGGCACTATTTGGTTGAGGTGCATGACTCGAGTACTCTTTGGCCAAGGTGCATGACTTAGGCATTGTTTGGTCGAAGTGCACGACTCGGGCATTGGTTGGTCGAGGTGCACCATTCGAGTACTATTTGGCCAAGGTGCTTGACTCGAGCACTCTTTCGTTGAGGTGCATGGCTCGAGCATTGTTTGGCCGAGGTGTATGGCTTGGGCATTGTTTGGCCGAGGTGCACGGCTCGAGCATTATTTGGTCGAGGTGCACCATTCGAGCACTGTTTGGCCGAGGTGTACCATTCGAGCACTATTTGGTCGAGGTGCACAACTCGGACACCGTTTGATCGAGGTTTATGACTTGGGCACTGTTTGGCTAAGGTGCATGAAGCAGATACTATTTGGTCGAGGTGCATGACTTGGTCACAATTTAACCGAGGTGCGTGACTCGGGTACTATTTAGCCCAATCACAATGACAAAGTGGACAAACAAAAAGATAACCGTGAATAATATTAGATAAAGAAGTAAGAAGATAATTCTAAATGAGTTTACAAAGAAAAATTTTGACTCTGACGACAAACATTGATACTCCAAATTATCCTTTAGTTATACCGGTCTCTATTAAAAAAATCATAAATTTATATAAGCTCTTAGAAGTAGCCAACCTAGAAAGGTATAAAGTCCAAACCCGAGTTAGGTATATGAATAGATAAGATAAGCTTAATAAGGTCATCAGAGAAAAGAAAGTGAATGATTTGAAGATTCTAAGTATGATTAATGATAACATCATTTGCAAGATTAAGGTTAGAGGTTAAGCTAATATTAAGGAAGGTAAGGCAACTATTTAAAGGGATATTAGAAATCCAAGGATGTGACTTGAATATTGGGCTAGCTGCGAGGTGTAGTTCGAGTATTAGATTGGCCGCAAGGCGTGGTTTGAGCATTGGACTAACCGAGATATGACTGAGACATTGGACTGGCTGCGAGGCGTGACTTGGGCATTGGATTGGCCGAGATGTAACTCGGACATTGGATTAGCCGAGATGCGACTCGGATATTGGACTGGCCACGAGGCATGGCTCGGGCATTAGATTGGCCGAGATGCGAGTTAGACATTAGACTAGCTACAAGGCATAGCTCGGGCATTGGATTGGATGAGATGTGACTCGAGCAATGTTTGACCAAGGTGCACAACTCAGACATTATTTGGGTGAGGTGCACAATTCAGGTACTGTTTGACCAAGGTGCACAAATCAGACACTATTTGGCCGAGGTATACAACTTGGACATTGTTTAGCTGAGATGCACAACTTGGACAATGTTTGGCCGAGGTGCACAACTCATGCATTGTTTGGCTAAGGTACATGACTCGGGCACTGTTTGGCCGAGGTGCATGACTCGGACACTGTTTGGCCGAGGTGCACAACTCAAGCACTGTTTAGCGAAGGTGCACCATTCGAGCACTGTTTGGCCGAGGTGCACAACTCGGGCATTGTTTGATCGAGGTGCATGACTTGGACACTATTTGGACAAGATGCATGACTCGAGCACTATTTAGCCGAGGTACATGACTCGGGCACTATTTGGCTTAGGTGTATGGCTCGGGTATTATTTGGCTTAGGTGCATGACTCGGGCACTGTTTGGTTGAGGTGCATCATTCAGGCACTATTTGGCCAAGGTGCACAACTTAAATACTATTTGGTCAAAGTGCACAACTCAAGCACTATTTGGCTGAAGTGCACAACTCGGGCATTGTTTGGCCGAGGTGCACGACTTGGGCATTGTTTGGTCGAGGTGTACCATTCGACTACTGTTTGGCCGATGTGCACCATTCGAGCACTATTTGGCCGAGGTGCACAACTCGGACATTGTTTGATCGAGGTGCACGACTCGGGCACCGTTTGGCCGAGGTGTATGACTTGGGCACTTTTTGGCTGAGGTGCACAACTCGAGCACTATTTGGTCAAGGTGCACCATTCGAGTATTGTTTGGCTGAGGTGCACCATTCGAGCATTATTTGGCTGAAGTGCACAACTCGGACATTGTTTGACCGAGGTGCACGGCTCGAGCATTATTTGGCTGAGGTGCATGACTCAGGCATTGTTTGGTCAAGGTGCATGGCTCGATCATTATTTGGCCGAGGTGCATGACTCGGGCACTATTTGGCCAAATCACAATGACAAAGTGGACAAACAAAAAGATAACAACGAATAATATTAGATAAAGAAGTAAGAAGATAATTCTAAATGAGTTTACAAAAAAATTTTTTTGACTCTTAGGAAGAACATTGAGACTCCAAATTATCCGATCTCAATTCAAAATTTCATAAATTTATATAAGCTCTTAGAAGTAGCCAACCTAGAAAGGTATGAAGTGCAAACCCGAGTTAGGTATATGAATAGATAAGATAAGCTTAATAAGGTCATCAAATAAAAAAAAAAGTGAATGATTTGAAGATTCTAAGTATGATTAATGATAACATCATATACAAGATTAAGGTTAGAGGTTAAGCTAATATTAAGGAATATTAG